ACCTCCACTGGATTCAAAGACTTTCTACCCACTGGCCTGTGATCATTCTTCATTTGGCGTCATTGCACGTGGTTTGTGAATTTGAAGAGGACTTTGTAGATCAGTGTCAGACATGTGGGATAATGTTGGACTTATGGCCTTGGACTGGACTGGGTTGGGGTGCTTTATTAATGTACACTTACCGTTTATAGAAAACTCTCTCTTATACATATATGAGTTTCTGTGGATTTGTTTCTCTAGTCTACCCAGACTAACACATTATGTTTAGTAAGTTGTGAGTCTGAGTGGCTATCCAACTCTAGCTTCCGATGCTATGCATTCATGATTTCTACCTCCTTCCAGAATGATCTTAAGAAGCCCTAGGATCCAGGATAGGTAAACCCCTCAGGGCCAACAAGGAGAGTAGAGATACCAGGAGGATTAGGAGAGGGTGGGGGAAGGAAGGGGGAATCATCACAAGGATCAACCTAGAACCCCCTCCCAAGGGGATGAATAATGGAAAAGTGGATGAGGAAAAATGGAAAATGATGTAAGATATGGAAAAAATAATCTATAACTTATCATGGGCTCCTGAGGGAAGGTGGGTGGGGGAGGGAGGGGTAAGAAATGGGGAGCAGATATCAGGGGCTCAAGCGGGAAGAGAATGCTTTAAAAATGATGATGGCGGCATATGTGCAAAGGTGCTTGACACATTGGAGGAATGTATGGATTGTGATAAGGGATGGAAGAGCCCCCAATGAAAGTATTTTTTTTTTTTAAAAAAGAAGAAGCCCTAGTGGTGCGGTGGTTAAATGCTCAGCGACTAAGTGAAAGGAAAACCCAATGGGGCAGTCACCATGAGTCACAATCAAATTGACGGCACACAGAGCAACAACAATGCAAAGGAATGAATCCATCAGCAAAGGTTTGGCTTACCATGCTGGTGTCAGTGAACTCCTGAAACTGCTGTCCCAGAAGTTTTACCCAGCTATGCGGCCCAAGTGTGTCCCTCGTCTACAGGAAGGCACAGTTGACACCTGTTCCTAAGCTTACTTGTTCAGCTGACTAATATTATTTTATTGACGTCACAATGATTCAACCTTTCATTTCATTCCATTGCACTTTTTGACTTCAGATTTAGATTGATTTCCACCTTACTGAAAATAGGTGGGTAAGGTGAATTTCAGATTATGGACACCCAGGGAGCCCCAACCTTGGATTGGCATTGGGAAACCTCCAGCAGCCAGAGTCAGATGAACACCCTCAATCCCGTAGGAAATGGGCCCATCAGTGGAGAGAAACAGCTGGAATACCAGTGTCATGGCAACTGTAAGCCAATTCACATTTGTCTTTTTTTTTTTAAATCCCAGCCCACTACAGATCAAGTCCATAACTCTGATATTAGCCCATATGTCCAATCCTAGTCTATAAATTCCTCTTCACACTCAAGCAGCTCATGCGATGATGCCAAATGCAGGAAGATTACAGACTGGTGGGTGAAAAGTCTTGTGGACCCAGTGGTAGTAGAAGCATCTCAGCGCTGGTGCAGGTCTCCCCATGGCTCCTTCAGCTCCCTGAGTGTGGCTCTTCAACAGGAAGGTGAAGCAGAAAGGATGGGGGTGGGCGGTGGCCTCCAGTGAGCTATTTTTCCCCATCATGGTGCCAAATGAGTTAATCGAGCTGTGAACTGATTGACAGGCTAACCTCCACCCCTTCACTCTTAAAATCCTCAAGTTGACACGTGATTATATAACTAGTACAGTGCAGGACCAGGCAGTGCTTCATTTTCTTGTGTGTATAATAACTATTTGCACACAAAAAAAACCTCACTTTTGTCTTTACAGTAACCAGACTCACCTTTTTTTTCGTAAAAGTGCCTGAGTGAGTCTTCCATTCTTTCTATCAGTAGGGATTTAACTAACACGTGTGACGTAGTGATTACGCCTTGGGCTGCTAACTGTAAGATCAGCAGTTCAAGACCACCATCCAGCTGCACAGAAGAAAGACAAGGCTTTCTACTGCCTTTAACAGTTACAGTCTCAGAAACCCACAGGGGCAGTTCTGCCCTGCCCCATAGAGTCACTATGAGTCAGAATTGACTCGATGCCGTGAGTTTGATATCTTTTTTAATCCTGTGGAAAGCATTTTTAAGTGAAGAAATTTGTTTTGCCTAGATGAAACTCAATTTATTTTATTTTTTTAATAATTTTT